ATATATATTTAAGACAAATGTTTTCGTCCTAATATGAGATTTGAAAATTTAAACATTGAAAATTTAATTTTAATTAAATTTTTTTTAATTAGATCACATATGGTTTATATGTAATAATTATTAAAAATTAATAATACATTAAATATAAATATTAATAAATTAAATATAATATTTAAATATATATTAAATATTAATAATAAATGTTATATTATATAAATATAAATATAAATAATAATTATGCAATTATTATATCGCATATTTACTATAAATGAGATATATAGAAACAGCAAGGTTATTTCGTATTTTTTATAATATAATATAATTATGCAATAAAAATTATGCAAATAATAAATAATTATTATATATATATATATATAGGTATACATCCTTAAACCAAAATATTGATGTTATTGATTGATTAGCAATTAATTTGAATGGTATAGGTTTAAGATGAAACGTCAAGGGTGTAGTTTCTAGAAATCGTAAGGACGAAGGGTAGGAAGAATAAAGGTCGAAATGGGGTTTGCAAGTTCAAGATTCCAAACTTAATAGGTGTCGAACATTTCGATGGTTTCTCTTTGGTTTCTGGTAACATTTCTATACGGTATAACGCGAATTCCTATAGACGTCGTCAAACATATTACAACTAGAGTTTTCAAATAAAACGATTCCTCTTGTACGCTACATGTGTTATTTATAATAAAATGCGTGAATATCTACATTTTAATAATCAATAATTTACTTTTAATTGACCAATTGCATCGTCGTTGTTTTTATCGTTAGTAATTTTTGTTTTACTCTTTAGTAATTGTTTCGTTTATTTTTCCTTCTCTCTTTATTTTCCTATTTATTTCAAAACTCTACGTTATCAATTAATTGTTTGCGGAAATGAATAATTATTTTTTTTTGTTTCTTTTACATCTAATAATATTCTATATTCTATATCTAGGAGCGATATAAGTGTAGAAGAATAAACATAGATAAGCAGGTAGGTGACATAAATGACAAACGAACCTACTGTAGAAATAAAGAAAGACGGTGTGTGGTTTGCTTTGTAAGTTGTGTAAGTTGTATGTGTAATTCTGTGTGAGTCAGGAAGGTTTTCGAGCGATATCAATGCTTTGTTTATTGCATCGGACCGGGCGTTTGGAAAATTCAAGAACAGCGTGGGGATGGATATAAAGGGACGGGGATTGAGTCAGAGGGTAGTCGTAGTCGCAAGTCGTCATCAGTCGTTATTCAGTTGTAAGAGTGCACTTGTTTATATCTGTTGTTATCGTAAGATTGTGAAGCACTATTGTATCTTTTTCTAATACCTATTTTCAATATATCTTATCAGTAGGATTAAACTGGGTGTATGTTAACCTCACATCTCTAACCCAAACGAAAATCCTACATTTATGATATACATACCTAGTAGCCTCAAAATCAATATTTATTTTTTTATTCTTGAAGTTAAGGAGTGCATGGCAAGTGCATTTAGTATATTATTAGTTCTCGTTAACGGCCATACCGTGATGAAAACACAAGTTCTCGTCCGATCACTTAAGTTAAGCATCACTGGGCACGGTTAGTACTTGGATGGGTGACCGCTTGGGAACACCGTGTGCTGTTAACACTTCTTTTTTTTTTTCTTTTTTTATTCTATTTTTCTTATTAATAAAATATCTTATTAATGAATGGTAAAAAAATCATCATCAAGATAAAATTTAATTTAATATTTTTTGATAATATCTTTTTGTCTTCTCTTTGTTTACATTATGGTTTATATACAAACTCTTTTGCAAATAATTCGAAATAAAAACTTTACGAATTGCTTGTATGTTTCTGCTGATTGTTTCGTTTTTCTTGTCAATTTTAAAATTTATTTAAAAAAATTGTTTTTTATTTCATTATATCTATTGAAGAAACTTTCAAGAATATGCACAAATTCATTGTTTATAAAAAACTAGTTAATAAACTACAATTTTACAATATTTTATTTCAAATTGATTGGTGTACGAATACTTTCTACATCAACTATATAAGTATATACATACACTACAACTATATATATTATCATGAAGTAGATTTAAATAATTTTGAAAAAAAAAATGAAGAAGAAAAATAAAAATCATTTTTAGAGATTATTTATGTTAATACGACGTGATTTTTTATAATGTTAGTTCGAATAACGCATTACAAATTAACCGCAGTTTGCCGGAATATGTATAAGAACTGTACAATCTCGAATAACCTTGAAGCTACATTCCGATATGATAAGTTTTTTTGTTTTTGTATAAATAAATTTTTTCCTCCTCTTCTCCAATATGACGTTAGCGTATTTTTTCTTTTTAATATCTCTTATGAAATAGATCGATAATTTTTGTAACGATCATCAATTTTTTCTTGTAATATCTAAATAAATGTAATATTATTGTGAAAATGGTTACTTTATTGTTAGTTTGTGTTTAATGGTAACTATTTGTTGGTAAAAACCTATCAACGTTATTCAACTCATTTATAAAATTAAATCTTCATATATTATTAATTTTTTACACAAATTAAATTCAATAAATTTGAAAATAATTCATGAAATATTTAAACGTTTTTGATTTAATATAAGAAAATAATAAACAAAAAAAAAGCAAATAAAAAATTCTATATAAAAAAAAATTAAAAATAATAATTTTGTGCTTATGAAATGTCGAATTTTTTTTACATATGAACGTTTCTTTTCCTGTTTCGTAATTTATTTGTTTTTTGATATACCTTCCTTTATATATTATTTACTATTGCTAAAATCACATTTCTACAAAGATTTTCTTAAAAGTTATTAATTTTGTAATTTTTTTGGGGGGTCTACAAGTAGGTTTTCAGCGTTTTTTAATAAATTGTGTAACGAGTAGATTTCGGGCAGAAATGTCTTAACTCATGTGTCATTTTTAAAGCTTGTGTATCTGTTAACAACATTGCATCATTATATTTGCGCATTTCTATCAGCGTCTTATATTTTATGAAGCAGAAACATGGTAAGTTATGTGCCAAATGAACGTCATTTGCGAGAAGCGCTGCTTCTATTCTTTAATATGAAGAAAAGTGCAAATAAGGCCTATCATTTGCTTCTGGAAACTTACGGGCGGAATGTATTGGTGAATCGACATGTCGTGAGTGGTTCAAACGGTTCAAAAATAGTGATTTTGATGTTGAATACAAGGAGCGCTCCGGAAAGCCGAAAGATTTTGAAGACGAAGAATTGGAGGCTTTGCGGGATGAGGATCCGTGTTAAATTCAAGAAGAGCTTGCTGCATCATCTAGCGTCATACAACAAGCCATTTTCCTGCGCCTGAAAGCTTTGGAATTTATCCTAAAAGTTAGAAATTGGGTGCTGTACGAGTTGAAGCAGAGAGATGTCGAACGGCGATTTTGCATGTCAGAAATGTAGCTGCAGCGGCATAAAAAAAAGTCCTTTTTGCATCGCATTGTCACTGGTGACGAAAAATGGATCTATTATGATAATCCTAAACGCAAAAAAACATATGGAAAGCCTGGCGAGCCGGCCGAATCGACGCCGAAGCGAAATATTCACATGAATAAGGTCATGCTCTGCATATGGTGGGATCAGAAGGGTGTCATATACTACGAACTGCTTCCGAGTGGTCAAACCATCAAAGGACCATTGTATCTAACCAAACTCATTCGTTTGAAGCTGACATTGGCAGAAAAACGGCCAGAATAACAGACCACGCACGAGTCCGTAATTTTTTACCACGACAACGCTCGGCCACATGTTGATGCTTCGGTCAAAAACTACATGGATAATAGTGGATGAGAAATTCTGCCTCACCTGCCTTATAGTCCAGATTTGGCACCATCCGACTATGAGTTGTTTCGGTTGATGCCGAACGCTCTTACTGGAATGCGCTTTATTTCAGTAGAGGGAATCAAAAATTGGCTCAATACGTTCTTGGGCTCAAAAGACGAGACCTTTTTTTGGTCCAGAATTCACCAATTGCCAGAAAGATGTGAAAAAATTGTATCTTTCGATGGACAATATTTCGAATGAAAAATATGTTACTATTTTTTCAGAATAAGCCCTCAATTTTTATGAAAAAACGCTGAAAACTTACTTGTAGACCCAATAAATTTCTTAAGGATACGAATTCAAGCCGATGTTTGTGTTTTTTTTTTTTTTTTTGAATATGAGTATAAACTTAATAAGAATATTGTAAAAGCTGCGCATAATATAAACGAGGAGTTTAGGGAAAATTCTGTTAAACGTTAGTTTTAAAAATTTCTGTTTTGTCATTTTTTCCTTACAAATTGAATTGCATGGAATAACCAAAACTTCTATGAAAAATAATGAAAGCATTGGTGGAAACGAATCCAATTTCATCCACAAGGGAGTTTCCTGTCAGAATGAAAGTTGATTATACAAAATCATGGCGATACCTTATTGAAATTACCAAAGTGAAAAAAAAATTAACTAGATTGGTTAAACGTATGTTGATTGTTACAAACCCAATTTTTAGACATGAATTAAAACATAAAATTTTGTAGAACACAAATTATTCGTTGAATTTTTCGCCAATTAAATTTCATTTTTTTTTTAATCGTTTAGAAAAATTTTTACAGGTTAAACAGTTTGAAAATGAAGACATTTTGAAAAATGTCACATTAGAGTTTATTGATACTAAATGATAAAAGTTTCATTAAGCCCGGCGATACATGTAAAATAAAAAAAAATCGAATTTTTTTTCATAAATAGTTAGTTTACCATCATAAAAATATGCCTGTAAATTTTAGGAATGAAATTCGCATTATTTATCGATTAAAAATTCATTTAAGTGGTCCACCTCAACTCGGCGCTAGTCGCGAACGCTAAACTTTGAACGCGTTTTTCTCGAAGCGACTATTTTCAAACTGTGGTGAAAGATAACTCAAAGAGATTTCAACCGATTCTTATGAAATTTAGTACACATTTTCTTTATAGTATGAGCTTCTAGTTGAAATTTAAAAATGCCACAAAAATTTTCAAAAATTGCCATTTTTGACCCAAAAACCGTTAAAAAAAGGGTCAAAAACCAGACTTTTTTGTCTGAGTCGTGCCAATTTACAATTTTTTAACTTTTTAGTTTTTCCTTAGTTCAAATAGAAGATACATGTTTTATGAACACGCTCCGACCCTTTTTTTTTAATTTTAGATTGCTGTAACTAAAGCTAAAAGTCACCATGATTGATGCGTTTCGCCGCGAGGGCCTCAGGAAATTAATTACTACGGCGGCCCATTTTGAAAAAAAATATCAGATTCTTATATTATAATATGTAATGAATAAACATGCTGAGTTTCAAAATGATTCATTTATTCCTTCCATTTCAAATAAGCCTCTGAAAAGCGGTCAAAATTTAGGCGTTTACATGTATCGCCGGCCTTGAAACAAACCTACATGCATTAAAATCTCATTAAGAAAAGTGTATTGAAACAAATAAAGTTCATTTTGAATAAATAAAGAAATTATTTATTCGATATATCAATTATATATTTATTTAATTTATATAAAAATAGTATATATAAATATAAAAATATTATAAATTATAAAATATAATTAGTATATATAAGAAATATTATAATATTATAAAAAATATATTATAATATTATATTAATTATATAAATTATAAATTATAGAAACAAATATATTATATCCAATCAAAATCCGAAATTTCATATGCTCCAATCTAATAGATAACAATCTTTGATGAAGATGACAAAAAAAAATAAGAAGAAGAAGAAAATTACTTACTGACAAGAAAGTTTTCTCTTCTTAGAAACAGGAATAAAATCCTCAGATGTGTCAGTGCTACTAGGTTGACAATTATTGGAGGTATTACGAGTGGGGCTGCTGTTTGATGATCCACGATGATGATGATGATGATGGTGATAATGATTATGATAATGATGTCCGGTGGCGGGTGCCTGGTCTGGAACCATCGTCGGGGATGTCTCCATGTGCCGGGGCAGTTCAGCCCCCGTTGCAACTTGCGGGGTTGTATCTGTGCCAGTTGTAGTGGTGCTAGTTGCGATACTGCCCTTGTCGTTGTTGTTGTTGTTGTTGTTATTGATATTGTTGTGGTTGTTGTTGCTGTTATTATTATTTTTCGTAGATGTGATTGTTGTATTAACAGTTGTCGTACCAACGATATCTTCTTCCGAAATATTACTATCGGTAGTAGAAATAGTATTGTCAAAGGTTGTAGTTGTAGTTATAGTAATGCTTGTAGTGGTGCTAGTTGTTGTTTTTATTATGGTGCCGTTCGGTATTCTAGGGGTGATTACGTTGTTACCAGTACCGTTACCGTTGCCGGGGGTTGGAGTTGGGGTAATCTCGTCGGCACTCTCAGTCCCGACCCCCGTCAAATCTCCCACCCCCGAGACCGAGCCTATCTCGCCAAAATAGACCGTAGAACAGGAACTTCTAAAAATCAAACAAATTTATTTTTTTTATTTTATATTATCTACTGTGAGACGAATTTTTATTATAAATTAAAATACATCTTTTTTTAGAATGGAAAATAACAATAATTCAGAGGTTTGGAAAAACGGTTAAATGTAACATTCATTACATAAAAATAGTTGACAGAAGACTAACTGAATCTTCTTCTATATAGTGATATCGAATATCCGTTTGTTTCGGTGACTTATACTAAATAAATACGAAAAATAGATTCTACATAGCCGCAACGGAAGTTACTTATGACTCGACTTAATAATATTATTAAAAAAAAAAAATTGTTAAATATCTTCGTTTTGAAAGTTTCATTATTTCTAATAATATACGTCAACGATATTTGAAGAATTTGCGACGAAATGATTTTGAAATATTTTCCTTTGTTATTTTCTTTATCTCCGAACGATTCCAAACTCACTACAAGTATAAGTCATTAAAAACCCGATTTAAACTGGTTTTTATTGTGTGTTACATATACAGGGTGTCCCATATAACTGCATTCACAATTTTCCAAGTACTTACGATAACCTGACAAAAAATACGTAAACAAAAGTTGTACTTCTTTTTGATTTACTATACATTGGAATAAAAACAAAGTTTCAAAAATACCTTTCTTTTTTTAACGTTTTTTAAAGGCTACTTTTATTTTTTTCGGCACCCTATATTTTTAATCTTACAATATAATATTCCCTGTTAAAACGAATCACATAAACTAATAAACCATGATCATTAAATAACCTTAAGAGTTTAACCTATCGAAGCAAAACGAACAAATTTCGATGAAACGTAAGGATGATAAAATATTATTAACAAATTTGTTTTTAATTGGTAATGTTCGACAATTCGTAGTTCATATTTCTAGTAATACAACTCTTACTCAAAGTTTCTGACATTCATTACAATTACGAGTATTTGTGTTGATTACAATACGAATTGTAACTGCGGATTTTAATCACAATACATAAATTTTTTTAAATTACGATTTAAAGTTATAAATTAGTATTAGTATTTAAACGATATTACCAAAGTAAATAATAACTACATTGTAAATTTACATTTATAATGTAAAAAAGAAATTATAAAATGAGCCGTTTATTTTGAAAATGGCCTAACTTCACTTATGTTCTAGTCGAGATATTGAAAAGTTTGCGCCTAAATGCAATTATTAGTCCATTAAGTATGAAATATTTGATTACCTAAAGCCTTAAATTTGACACTAGATATCTCCGATATTTTACTTCAATTGTCCTTTATTTTTTTTTTGCATTAGGGATCCTATAGAAGGGATGCGCCATGTACATTGTTGGGGGACCCGGAACTCGATTTTGTGCGCAAATGATTCAAACATTGAAATAATTAAAAAATAATGAATTGCATCAAATACAGAAAAAAATGAACTATATTTAATGATAATTAAAAATTTATATTAAAATAGAATAGGTTACGCGAAAAAATTATTATAAATTCAAGCGGTCCCCCAAAATTTTCAGCCAATGGCACATGAGGTGAATATGAATGGCGCATCCCTCCTACAGGATCCCTATTTTGCATTAAGAAGGTACGCCATCTGGCTTTCAGATGCACTCATTTGTTTTTAATAGTCTATCGTATTGACGTCTGGAGGTTGAATATTGTAAGCCATGGATAAGACAAGAATGCGAGTTATTTTCGAATATGAGTTCCGTCGTGGAACTAATGCAGCGCAGAAAAGCCGAAATGTTAACGAAGTGTTCAGCAAGGATGTGGCTAACGAACGTACAGTATTTCGACGGTTCAAAAAATTCCGATCTGGAGATTTTGATCTTCAAAATTAACCACGCAGGTGACCTAAGAGCAAGGTGGATGACGACCAACTGAAAGCTGTAGTGGAAGCAGATCCCTCTGAAATGACCCCTAAACTAGCAGCAAGGTTTGAAGTTACCATCCCAACAATAATAAGTCATCTGAAAGCACTCGGAAAAGTAAAGGAACTGGATAGGTTTGTTCCGCATGGCTTGAGCAAGCGTCAGCAACGGAACCGCTTCGAGGCTTGCTGTTCTTTAGTATCAAGACTAAAAGGCGATCAATTTTTGCATCGGATAGTCACGTGCGATGAAAAGTGGATACTTTTTAATAATCACAAGCGTTCAGCACAATGGTTGGACAAGGATGAAGCGCCAAAACACATCCCAAAGCCGAGTATACATCAAAAAAAACTAATGGTGTCTGTTTGGTGATCCAGCGCGGGTGTTATACACTATAGTTTTATGAGAGCTGGGCAATCAATAACGGCGGACCTCTACTGTGAACAGTTAGAAGAAATGATGAGGCAGCTGCAAATTAAGCAGCCGAGATTAGTCAACAGGGACAGACCAATCCTCCTGCAGGACAACGCTCGACCATACGTTGCAAGATCGACGTTACTTAAACTACAGGAACTAGACCTAGAAACACTTTGTCACTTACTGTACACGCCAGATTTCGCGCCAACCGATTATCATTTTTTCCGAGCTTTAGACAATTTTTTGCAAGGAAAAATATTTAATTCCCGACATGCGGTGGAAAATGCCTTTCGCGATTTTATCTCCAGCTGCTCTCCAGATTTTTTCGCTAGCGGTATTAATAAGCTATCGTTAAAATGGCAACGTTGTATTGCTAGTTTAGGTGCATATTTCGAATAATTATATTATTTATTGCCCGAGATATAATAAACTAAACTTTCGATTTCAAATCAGACATTTCATACTTAATGACCTAATAAAAATATACGTACAAGATACTAACGAGTCATAGTATTTATATGTATCTTAAGGTGTTAAATTTATAGTTCCTTTTAATATAGTGGCGATTATTAAGTGAATAATATGCATTTTCTTGTCAAGAATGGAGTTAGGCCACTTTTAGAACAAGCTTTTTCATCACTCCATTAATCAGAAAATTTTCTTCTTACAAAAGCTTCATGATTTTATATATATATATATATTATTAAGAAATTACCTCAGAATGAAAAGATCATGTAAAAATATAACTATTACGGTAGCTAACTCGATTTTATTGGAAAATGAAGTTAGGCCATTTTCATAATAAATGGCTCAAATAATGTATTTATTAATTTATGTTGTTGTTAAGTTATCGCAAGTTCTTGAAAAATCATGAATACATTTATGTGGGACACTCTGTATGTATAAATTAATCACATACCAAAGAACAATCTACGAAAGTGACACTGATATATGCAAGGGGAACGTAGCATGAATAAACACATAACCGATCGTTCTACCGATCACAACGACAGGTCCGTGCTGAACATGGAACATTATCGATAGGCGAACTGATCTAACTGTCTCGGGCGTCATACTTATCGCCTCTAACCACTTTTCTACGAACAATGCTAGTTGTTACTGCTGGCACTATTATATTCAGCTGCTGCTGCTGCTGCTGCTGATCCATTCGCTTTTCTACAATATTTTTATACTCGTTAAAAAAATTTTCTTCCCTTTCCTTTACTTTTCTCATTATTATTATTCTTCTTATTCTTTTCTTATTTTTATTCTTCTATTTCTTCTTCTTATTATTATTACGAAATAATATTCATCTTGTTGAAACGACAAATCTATACAAATCAATCATTTTTCATAGATATTATTGATTCATCAATTTCTTTTATATCAAGAATATAACAATTCAAATATACATATATTTATACAGTGGGTGTAGCAAGTATTCATACACCGATCAATTTGAAATAAATTGTTGAGAAATTGTAGTTTATTATTTAATTGTTTATAAACAATGAGTTTGTAAATATTCTCAAAAGTTTCTGCATTAGATATAATGAAATAAGAAATAATTTTTTTGAATAAATAAACAAATTGATAAGAAAAATGAAAAAAATTGGCAGAAACATACGAGCAATAAATAATCGTACAGTTCTTATTTCGAATTATTTACAAAAGAGTTTGTAAATAAACTATAATGTAAACACAGAGAAGAGAAAAAGAAAATATTATCAAAAAATAATAAATTAAATTTGATCTTGATGATGATTTTTTTACCATTCATTAATAAGATATTTTATTAATAAGAAAAATAGAATAAAAAAAGAAAAAAAAAAGAAGTGTTAAACAGCACACGGTGTTCCCAAGCGGTCACCCATCCAAGTACTAACCGTGCCCAGTGATGCTTAACTTAAGTGATCGGACGAGAACTTGTGTTTTCATCACGGTATGGCCGTTAACGATAACTAACCTTATACTAAATACACTTATCCTGCACTCCTTAACTTCAATTATAAAAAAAGAGAAATATTAATTTTGAGGTTACTAGGTACATGTAGCTCTCATACAAAACGGTATCTTATAGCACGGCTTTGCTATAACACGATTCATAAATTGTGGAATTCTTCTACAACACGGCATCCTATAAAACGGTTTTCTTTCAAAAAACCTTTTAACAACACTGTATTTCTACAGCCGCGGTGAGGCTTACCGTCTAAAAGATACTGTATTACGGAAAGTATTTATTTTCATTTCCATGGCCTAAAAACTAAAGTGTCTCACGCTGTTGTGAACTGAAAACATCAGCGTTAAATGCATGTTGGAAGAAGATATGACCTTCTTCAGTTGAAATAGATAACGTGCGTTAATCGTTACAAAATGAAATTGGTGAGATATTAGAACTTGCTAAATCAATCGAAGATATTTTTCCACAACACAATATATGTATTGTGGGACCACTGTATGAAAATATCAGAAAAATTACAACGGCAAAATTCAAGAACATAATGGACCCACTATGATTTATACGATATAATAATTTGATATTTTTTCTTATGGATAGATGAACTATGAACATACATAAGTATGTTCTATTCTTAGGTACTAATTAAAAGTACAAAAATACAGCTCAAACCGTACGGATTTATAGGATAATTAGATACATCATATTATATATACATTATTATGAATTAAAATTACATGTGTCTTCATAGCTCAGATGGTAGAGCGCTCGCTCGGCAAGCGAAAGGTCCTGGGTTCGAGTCCCAGTCTAAACAACCGAAGCCCGAATTGTTCAATATGTTTTATCTAGACAGTCTCTTGACAGTATTGCTAAGTTACGTTGTTACTTCTTCCTTAATGTTCAATCATCCTTGAAAAATCACGCACTTGCAATAGAATAGATACTATGCGGAGTGTGTATATTTCTGGAAAGAAACAAAGGAATTTGTTTGATACAATATCAATATTGTCGATGACTTTCTTGATAAAACAGTTTGAATAATTTGGTCCAAAAGGTTGTTCTTAGGTAGCTCAGAAGGATACAGAGCATTCGCCCGAAATAAAAGCGAGTGGAAGACAAATTTTTTTTCGATTACATTTTTCTAATTGATTGATCTCATAAATTATATGCTTAAATCAAGTCAATAAATATATGCTAATAATAAACAAAAAAATTATTTTTGTGAAAAAATAAAATATTCATTCGATTAAAACTCAATTCAATATTATTACAGCTAAAGAAATATTTTACGTTTGACGAGTATACTTATCATCGCGTTGATTCGGCAAAATATTTTTGGTACACAGTTTTCAATGAGGACTATGCAGCTAATTGGCTCAATGTATTTTATATATTATGTATTTTATATAATAAATATTTAATATAATGAAACTCTCAAAAATATACAGACTAACCACAATTCTTTCTTCATAATTCGATTATTTATAAAGCAATCCCTGGAGATATTGTTTTCAACAATAGGTCATTTATTAATCTTTTTAGACATAGATTATTTATATTAATTATTTATTAAATTTCTAATAAAAGAAAAAATGGTAAATTAATATATGGTATTGCAAAATTTGAAGGTATTAATAATGATTTTTAACATAACATATAATGATTTTTAACGTAACATTAAGTAAAATTGGAAATTTGATAATTAATAACACTGTAAATATAAATCTTTAACATATTAAAAAAAATCAAATTGGAAGGATCGAAAACATGAGTATTATTAATAATCTGAAGTTTTTAGCAAGACAACAGACAACTCAAGCTCAATCGCATTTGTAAAACTTATTTTTAAATAGACCTATTAAATAGATTGTATTACAATTTTTTATTCCCAGTCATACTCATCGGACTTTAATACCGTTCACTAATTATTGTATAGTTTAAGTAAGAAATGTGGAAGATTTTTTTTCTTGTAAATAAAAATCAAAATACAAAAAAATTGGTGAAAATATAATAATAGAGTATTTTTTAATTTTGTTGAGAAATTTTGTTTCGTCAGTAATGAACCGTATCAAATTTTCTATAAGACATCGATGAATGAGAATGAAAATTTTAAAGTCCTGAATTTATTACCACGTCAGAGTAGACAAAGAAAGTTGGAAAATATTGTATTGACATCACTGTATGAAAATATCAGACAAATTTCAACAATAAAATTCAAGGGCATAATTAACCTATTACGATATATACCAACGGAATATCATGATTTCTTCAAATCCCTTTCACATACACAAAATGTAGATAAGTAGTAAATTGACTTGTAGGTTATGTTTGTAATGTTGTACGTTATGTAGTTAAAAAATGTTTTGAATCGCGTAAATTTTTTTTCTAAAGTGTTTTAAATATATGTAAAATAAATTGAGTATTGTTTTTTTCAATTTGAAGCATCTTAAACTATGTTGAATGGACTTGGACTCCTTCAAATTTTATAATGAATTTAGTTATTAATTTTGACAATGGCCTAACTCCATTCGTGGTTAGAAAACGCATATTATTCACTTAATAATTGCCACTATTTTAATAGAAACTGCAAATTTAAACCTTTAGATACATTGAAGCAGAGTTTAACTCGTTAGTATCCCTTACGTATATTTTTAATTGCATTGAAACGCAAACCCTTCAATATCTCGATATATATATATATATAACGCAACTTTAATTTAATAAATTTCTTCGTAGTCACTGCTAAGTTTAATCAACCGAGGATTAAACTTAGGATTTCTTTTAATTTTTGTAATGTTAATTTATTAATTGCACAATTTTCATCAGTGCCTAGTGTCCTCAGGATCAATTTGATTTACAGTTTCGGATACCATTTCCATCAAGTTTCCAGTGTTAGGAGAAACCGTGTTGTTAGAGGGATTGCCGCAAATTGTAAATCGTGTAATTGCGAAACCATGTTAGGAGAAACCGTGTTGTTGGAGGGATACCTGTATATATAAATATAGAGTACTTTTAAAAAGAAAACAAATATTTACATTGAAATCTCGTAAAAAAAAAACAAGATCAACATTGAAGAAAAATTCTTTTTATCATTGGATACCAGCATTAATGTAACAAATTTCTCTATAAAAATTTGTTGAATATAATTGAAAAGTTAATGAAATATTTTAAGTGTGTGTTCCAATTTATATGGTCCACCCAGTATATATAATACTATAATTCGATGATAGAAGCTCTCGTGTATTAGTAGTATGATGCTAACAATGGTCGCGTGCATGGTCTCGTATCTATGAATAAACAGAATTACGCTAATCGCTAGAGTTACATCACGATACACGGAACCACTTGCGCTTTCTATCGGTTGGTAGATAAGTGGCTGACCTTGGACTGACATTTTTCCTAGAGCAATGCAACACACTTTGACGTTGCGTAGAAAAGAAATTTACCTCCTTTCTTTTTAACTTTCGATAAGATCGAAAAGCTTGTTTCTAATAATTCAATTTTTTTTTCTTTTTTATTATATCCTTATCGATTCTTTCAACTATCACGATATTGACCTGGCACAAAACCTTTATATTGATTTATTACAAAAATGTATTTTATCGAAATTATTATCAATTCTTCCTTATCAATAAAATCAAATAATATCAAACATATACTTATAAATAAACAAATATATATTAGGGTTGGTCAAAAAAATGACTTATTTTTTCTTTTTCAAGTGCCATGGAAAAATGGGTTGCTAGACACCTTAAAAAAATTCTCACCAAATATGAGCTCTTCATTTTAATAGGAAGATCCTCCGCATCGCAGTTTTTTATTTTTTTCTCAGTCGAATAGAATAAAATTCATACTTCATCATTAATTGATTGTACAGAAAAATGTTGTGGAAGAAATTTTTTATCATATATGAAAAATAAATTTTAGAAGAAAAAATGTATTACGATTTTTATTCTACTTTGAAGTATATTATCTTTAAATATAAACATTCAATGTCACGTTGTTGGTTTTTTAGTAAATTTTGAAACTACTAAATCAGTCTTAAGAAAATTTTTTTTTATTCTATGTGTTTTTTTACAACGTAGTACATAGGATAGTATTTATCAGGATTATTTTTATTTTTTTCTGGCAAATTAAATGATTTATTATTTAGAGGTTATCTATGTCTTTTGGGTTTTGTAAATATTCAACAGATAGCATTGTATTTCAAT